AACCCATAAACCCCTATACCCCTAAACCCCACCCGAAGCTCGGCCAACATCCTTCCTCCCGCCTCTTCGTCTCCCCTCTCTGCGAGTGCTCGCAATAGGGCATCTGCCTCCCGCACGGCTTAGGAGTTATCCTTCAGAGAATTGGATTCATGGTGGGGCAATAAAGTTTAGGGTTTAGGGCTCAGGGTTTTGGGTCCCTTCGGGCCTTTCGGGTTTGTACGGGAGTTCCTACATCTCCAAACCCTAAACGCTCAAAGCCGTAAACCATTGATGAACTTCTGATTGCCGCGGAGGCTCACGTTGTGTTGGGTATGGGTAGTTGCCTAAATTAGGGTCCCTCTTAGCGTCTATCTTACAAGGGTGCCGTACCATGTATGGGACCTGAAAAGGGACCCTAATTTAGAGAAGTGCAGCGGCATCGAACAGGCTTCTCACCAGGCCCTGGTTAGGTTAGGGCTTCGCACTGTTGTTTTTGCCACTCCTCCTTCCACTCGCCTGGGATTAAGGTTTAGGGTTTTGGGTTGAGGGCCCTGGTTAGGATAGAGTCGAGTAGGGCTTTAGGTGCGGAGCTTCGGGTTTGAAGATGTTGGGTTTGGGATTCAGGTCGCGGTTTCAGTCGAAATAAGCCTGTTGTTTGGGGCCTTCCATGTTGTATGAGGCTCACCGCCTAGCGTGCCCCTTGACTCTCGGGAGAAGGCTATCAAGATTTAGGTTTGAAGCGTCGACATGGTGCAATGCGACGCACTCGAGGTTTTCGCATGGCAGTCTCAACGTTGCGAACACAAGAATTGAGCAGAAAACGGAAAAGAAACGATCACAACAACCGCAACGACGATCGCGCAAATCAATACAATGACATAGCTCCTCAACCCTAAACCCTATACCGTAAACCCTAAACTCTCAACCAAACCCTCCCCCGCAGCCACAAAACCCTCAACCCTGAAGCCCGAAACCCCAAACCCTGTCCCCAAACCAAAAGTAGGATCCGCTCCACACCTCGGACACGTCGGGGGGAAACGCCACGGCAGCAAAGGAAGCAGTGGGTGGCTCCTACACGTCAGCCGCTAATGACATATGGAAGGCTCCGACACTAATCGTCACTAATACTTGTATACTCTTTAACTTCAATGTATGTATGTATCCAGGTAGATAGGTAGGTAGATGGGTGGGTAGGTAGGTAGGCAGGCAGGCAGGCAGGTCGGCAGGTAGGCATGCGAGCATGAGTGTATGAAACTATGTGTGTACAAATAGATCAGCTGATGAATCAAGCATTGAAGACAGGTCCTCCGGCAGCAACGGAGGTCGAGCACCAGACCTTTGAGTCCAAGAACTGGGTGGAGGGTGCGCAACTTGGAGAACTGAGACTCAAACTCGATGATGGTTCAAAGCTGACTGAGCTCTCAGCATTGTGTCCTGCACTTGTCCATCTGCCGCGGCACTGGGAACATGTTTCTAGTTCAGAAATCGGTTGTTTAGCAATAACCGCGACTTGGCCAACGTAGCAAAATGTGTTGTCACCAACCTTATCGGCCCAGGTTTGTGCTCTCAGCTTCTCGGCAGCTGCCCTCCGTATTATAATCGTAAATGGAGTATTAATGGTACTTACAGTCGTAAAGGTTCAGGATTTACGGTTTAGGGTTTCGGGTTTAGGCCAAGTACCGCCAAACCTTGTAAGCCTGAAACAGCTCTTCACGCAACTGGCATCAGACATTTCCAGGGCATCAAACTGTCCGAGACTACCAGGCAAGACGCTTCAACGGCTGAGGCGTTCAGGAGACAGCGCAGCTGAACCGAATGCAGCTGTTTTGATCCTCAGGCCGTTTTGGGACGAAACTTGTCGTGTCGGAGTTGCTAATTACTGCTATTGTGCAAACTCAAGCGGAGAAGGCTTGGTGAACATCATTTCCAAACACTACAAACTTATCCAACACTCTCAACCTCCTTAGCCTGGGATGGCGGTCAGGTCAAGCTGCAGCTATCCGCAGCTGCCCTGGACGGCTCCAGGTAAGTATTGAAAGTTCAGGAGGCCATGCTTCAGCACATCCACCTTCAAAAACTAGGGTTTGGGGGTTGGGGTCTACGGCTTAGGCAAAAACTTGCATGTCAGTACCAAAACGGCAGTGTTGCCGAGGAGAAAGAAAGCTTTGCCGAGACGGCCTGCACCGCGAGCGCGACAAGTCGCACAGTCCATTCCCAATAACTACAACCCTAGGCGCTGAATCTTGAACCCTAAACGGTTTAGGGTTTGGGCACTCTGAGATTTGCATGGACGAAGCCAGGAAAAGGGCATGTGGGGTTAACGCTTTAAAGTTCAGAGTAGCAGAATGGAAAAGTTGACGAGACAGCCTGTGGTGCGAGCACAGCAAGTTGGCCTAGAACAGCTGCAGTCCTCTGTGCGAGACCTGCGACTAACCTGCTACGGGTAGGCCCCAAACGCATGCGCACACACATGCTTGCATGCAAAACTACACGAGGTCTGAGAATTCTACAGCCTAGCCAGCTTTGGGCAGACTGCGAATCAACTGCAGTGAAATTGACTGCAGCCTGAGCACAGATGTCCAACGGAGTATGGTGCTGTGAGATCAGGCAACAACCATGAAGCAACCCTGCTCCGTGGTACAGCATCTTACCGTGATTCGTACGCACGGCGATAGAAAACAAAAGCCCATTCCTCATATCCAGCCCCCTCACAATCCAGCAGAGAAAAGCCGGCCTGCACACAATCCTTCACAGACTTGTCGGATTTCAAAAAATCTCTGGCTGTATATCCAGCTACCTTGCAATCTGGTAGGGAAAAGCCGGCATACTCACATTCTTGTATAGACAAGCCTGCCCTCTGAAAATCGATCGCAGAATAGCCGGCAGCCCTGCAATGTCTAGCTGAGTAGCCAGCTTTGATGCATTCATCTACAGCAAGCTCAGCTTCTTGCAAGAACGTGATGTGCATGCCTCGTTGTTTGCACTCGGTTGCGGTCCAGCCTTGCCTCACAATTTCATAGGCCCACTTTGAAAAGCCGCCATCAATAATTTCTGATTCCGAAAATCCTGCACACATGCAGTCTTTCACTGACAAGTGCGTCTGCTTGAAGTCAGACACCGCGATCTGATGCTGCCGACAATCCTTTAGCGAATATCCACAGTCCCGGCATTCTCTCAATGAATAGCCAGCCCGCATGCAATCTGTCATGGAATGATTAGACTCAAAGAAATCTTTTGCGGTCCACCCAGCTACCCTGAAATGTGATGCAGGAAAGCCGGCATCGAGACACTCGACAAGCGAAAGTCCCTGCTCTCTGCAGTCTTTTAAAGTGTACCCCGCCGACCGAATAGCCGGCAAAGAAAAGCCAGCTGCCTCGCAGTCTCTGGCCAAGAAGCCTGCTGTCCTGAAACCACTTGCAGAATAGCCAGCCTGACGACACTGTTCCAGTGAGTACTCATGATGGTGGTGAGATTTGTCGTAGACTGCTCTCAGATCGAAGCCACCCTGCTGAATATCCTGCAAAGAAAAGCCGGCTTGCCCACAGTCCTTCACCGACAGACCTGCGTCCTTAAAGTCTTGTGCAGAGTATCCACCAAGCTGTCGACACTGCTCCAGCGAGTGTCCGTTGTCATAGCAGTCCTTCACAGAAAAGCCAGCCTCGCTGCAATCCAGCAAAGAAAACCCTGCCTCCTGACAGTCCTTTGGTGACAAGCCTGCGTTCTTGCAATCTGTCGCAGAATACCCAGCCTGCCGACACTGCTCCACTGAAAAACCTTGATCTGTGCAGGCCTTCAATGGAAAACCACTTTGTTGAACCTCTTGCAAAGAAAAGCCGGCCCGCTCGCAATCTCGTACAGACAAGCCTGCCCTCTGAAAATGGATCGCGGAATAGCCGGCAGCCTTGCAATCTCTAGGTGAGTAGCCAGCTTCGATGCAGGCCTTCAATGAAAAACCACCTTGCTGGGCCTGCTGCAAAGAAAAGCCGGCCTCGACACAAGCTTTCACCGAGAAGCCTGCCTCCTGAAACTCGCTTGCAGAATAATCGGCAGCCTTGCAATCTCCGGGTGGGTAGCCCGCTTCCCTGCATTCACGCAAGGAAAACCCAACTTCCCTGCAACACGACATGGGAACGCCTCTCTGGTGGCACATGCTTGCGGTCAAATCAGACTTCACAATGATGTGGGCTTCCTCTGAAAAGCCTGCTTCAAGAAGATCTTCCAGAGAAAAGCCGGCTTGCCCACAGTCCTTCACCGACAGACCTGCGGCCTTAAAGTCTTTTGCAGAGTATCCACCAAGCTGTCGACACTGCTCCAGCGAGTGTCCGTTGTCATAGCAGTCCTTCACAGAAAAGCCAGCCTTGTTGTAGTGCTTCACGGATAAGCCTGCTTGTCTGTATTCCTTCGCAGAAAAATGATACCCGGCTTGTTTGCATTGGTTTAGCACGGCTTCGACCGACAGAAGTCGAGGGTACCAGCAACAGGTCAGTTTGCCCGGCAAACATGCAAGAAACGAAGGGCACCAGTGCTTTGTCCCTGTGTACAGGCCCAAAATGTCTTTCAAAGCAAAACCTGCTTCGCAGCAATCCTTGATAGTGAGCACGAGACCTGCTTCGTAGATTTCCTCTAGGGTGCATTCGTGCTTTTGCAAATCCTCGCGTGTAAACCTGTCCTGTGCTCGTACACTCTGCTCGATATCCTGAGAGATGGTGAAACCCTCCTTCTGAGCATCTGCCGGTGTCCGAACAAGGCCTTCCTTCATGAAGTCCAGCATAACGTAAACCTGCAAGTAACCTCGGCAGAATGCTTCGTTGCAGCGGCAATCTTCGCACATGTTTTGCATACTACCCGAAGCTCGATTCTTCCCGAACTGGCCAAAAAAGATGAGCTTCAACTGATTTTGGTCCAGTGGGTGAACTCTGTGGATCCATGACGACAGTATGTAGATCCGTCCGTGGCCAGGTAGGTAGGTGGGTAGGTAGCTTGCTAGCCAAGTAGGGACGGACCAAGCTGGCCACCCCACAACTCCCCGCCCTGCATCCCATGGAACCTCCGGTAACGTCGTTAGAACACGGCGACCCAGACCCCAGTCTCGGTGCGGGAAGCCGGGTTTGGGTTTTGTGGAACAAGTCCTGACAAGTGCCCAAACAAGTGGGAGATGCAGGTATGGGCAGACCCCCAGCGGCGAGAGTAGGACCTGAGTAGGAGAGGGAGATGCTCCTTCCACTACCACGGGGAATCTGCTCTTCGGCAGACGCACCAGTGGGCAACCCAGACAGCCAGTCTCGGTGCGAGAAACGTATTTGGGATTCTTGGGAGGGAGCTGTCACGGTCACAGAGATGGGGAATTGGACGAAAGGTTCCGATGCAACCCTGAGAAATGCGCGGACTCTGGCACACAGGAGAACTGGAATTACGGCAAATATCATCACAACATGGCGGTCGGGGAACATTGGGAAGGATCTGCCGCGGCCACAAACAACCCGCCGCCGCTGTTTCCGCACGTTATTGTTTGTCGAAACACGTGTATCGTGTAGGTAAAATGCTTGTTTTTCACTTTTATTTCTATATATATATATATATATATATATATGAATTTACCCTAATGTTTTTAGAAGCCGCTGTTTTGCGAGGTTTCTGCATGCGTGTTTCTTGCTTTCTATTGGGATGCACATTGTGTTCGGGCTTGCAGGCTTTGCTTTGGCTTGCACTGTCGGTTCTCAGGATATTGAATCACCACCACCGCTACCATCATCACAACCATTCTCATCACAGCCATCATCACCGTCATTATCATCATCGTCATCGTCATCATCATCGTCATCATCATCATCATCATCATCATCAAGATCATCATCAGCATCATCGCCATCAACATCAGCAGAACAATAATAATGATAATGATAATCACAATAATAGTAACAACAATGTATAATATTATTAATAATCATCATCATCACCATCTTCATCATCGTAGTACTAATAGAAATACGTGGCTTAGGGAGTTTGGTGGTTAAGGGAGTATCCGGGAGTTAGAGGGGAGTTTGGGGGTCTGGGGGCTTAGGGAGCTAAGGGAGCTAAGGGAGTGAAGGGAGCTTAGGGGTTCTGGTGGCTAAGGACAAAGACTTAGTTGAGAAGAACAAAGTTCAGAATTAGGGTTCAAGTCGTGGTGACGGTTCAGACCGGAACATAATTAACCCCCACCCCCTCCCCCCGGTAACGACTTGGCGGGAGGTGCGGAACTGAGTCTCGGCGCGAGAAACGGGGCCTGAGAACATGGGGAAAAGAACTTGGCGTGCATGCTACCCGGAGCCTGTCAGATGCGCCCACGGCGACGACAACGACCACAACGATGACCACGACAGCAACCAAGATCAAGACCAAGACCAACACCACAACCACAACAACCAAGAGGACGCCGAAGCGGACGGCCAAGATGCTAGAGACAGCAACGATGACGCAGGCGATGGAGGGAGATAAAAAAAAAGAGACACACACAAATTCCGAAAACATAAGCAAGCGAGGAAGAAGGGAGACTGAAGGACATGATGCATCATAGAGGGGCAGCACGCGACGGTCCTAGGATAAAGGGGATAGGCCGATGCAGCTGGTGCTACAAGGTGGGGCTAAGGTGGGGTGCTCGAGGGTATAGGGTTGCAGGGTTTAGGGTTTGGGGGCTAGGGTTTAGAGCTTCCGCCCCCAATGCACCGTGATCACCATAGCAACTGTGATGGGCCACAGGGCTTGTTTCTAGTACTACACATGCAAGACCGGTGCCTCACCATAGCCAGTTTCTGACCCGCACGTGTAGCTTTAAATTCTGAGCCGGACATGTAGCTTTGCCGGCTGAAGCCCAGTTCCTTGATCTCCTTTATGAGAGTGCCATGCTCCTTGTAGAATCTGAGGAGGCTCACAATGGCTTCGTCCTGCAGCTGGCGCATTTAAGCCCGTGCCAGATCTCAGGACATCCCAGCTGTGGGGGCTAAACTTTGCGGCTAAACCTTAGGCGGGTAAGGGGAGGCGTGCCGGGGACTATACGTCCTTAAACATCTTAAACAAGCCAAAGAAGACCCATATCAGGTTTTATTAGGGGCATTAAGGCCCCCTATACCCCCCCTCCCCTTTAACCCCCAAGGGTGCCTATGAGATATCCGAGCCCCGAACTGCCAAGATCTTTTGCCTGACGAGCCTTGAAGGTCCGACCGTCATCTCCTGGCTCAGGCTTCCCGGCAAGGGAGGTGCTGGAGGGTTAAAGGGCTCACTGGCCCAACAACGAAGACCTTTCAAAGCCTGGGATGCTACCCGCGTGCTGTGAGATCTGCAAATGAGACTTCACTGGTGCCACATTCTATTGCTGTCGTGGAGACAGCGTGGTTTTGCAAAGAGTCTCGACTCTTATCACAAGTCGCTCGCAAGAGCTAATGAAGCCGAAAGCCTCCCCGCCCTCGAAAACCCTCTCCTGATGATTTGATCCTTGCGAGGTAATCATCCAGTCGCTCGAAGAGGCTGGCAAATAACTCCACACCACGTCGCAAATGCAGCCCTGCAAACACCTCATCGCCGACTTCCTCGCCAATAACAATCATGTGGTCGAGGTACCATTCAACTTCTGATAAGTGTTTCGGTTTCCGTTGATGGAAGCTGAAGAGTCGTGAGGCAAAGATTTCTGGCATAATGGAGATGGCACGGCTAGCTGCGGAAGACCTGTTGCTGAAAATGAGGAATTGTCCGCTGGCAATCAGGATGCCTTTCAGCAAGCTCCAAACTGCACTTACACCTGCGAATCCTAAGCCATGTCCATATCTGTAGGTGATGATGACTCCCAGGAACCCCTGCGGCCAGTCTTCTCCAACTGCTATCAGCAAGCGAGCAGAGCTCAGGAAGTCTACGCAGAAGCCCGCCAACATGCTCGAGCACTTGCTGCACAACCAGCCGAAGAAACCTTCATCCTCGAGGGGTGGAGGGACAGTCTGTTTCAAGGAGATGATGGGCCTGTATGACCTCTTCAGCTCATTGCAGGTCTCTGGAAAATAAGTGACCAGCCAGTAAGAGTACACGATCGTGTAACAGGAAACCACCGCAAGGCAACCAGCATCTGTGACCGAGAGGATCCATCGTTGAACGAGAAAAGCACCAAACCCACGCGTTGCCCAGACTATTGCGGGGAGGGCCTGTATCTTGGCCAGTAGCCAGTGTAGAAATCCACCGAACTTCACAACATCCTCCTAGGCTCTTGCGTCAGGCAGCAGTCCATGCTTAGGGACTTACTGTAGGGTGTCTTAGACCAAACTGGGAACCAAGATTCCCTTCCTCGGCAAATTGAGGTTCCTCAGCATCCAAGTCTCCCACGGAATGATGCGCAAGCCGCTGAGGATGCTGCACAGCAGAGAACCAACAAAGCCTAAGAGGAAAAATAGCACAAGGGCCCCGGCTGCGGCCAACAGTGAGGCCACCAGAGCTAGTAGCTGCGAGCCGTACATGAGGGTGATGCCTGTAACGAGCGCGCCTTGCATGGCTACGACAAGCGGGCATATCCTTCCGATTGCTCCGGTGATCAAGATCCCTGCACCCAGGTTGTGAGCTTTGTATGCAAGCAACACATCTCCAAGGGTCATGACGGCTCCAACCACAAATCCTGCATGACTTGGCGTGCTTGCAAGCACACACACTCCGGTCATCACCCAATCTTTCATTGTGTCGGTCACTTCGCTAACCAGTGGGACTGTGTAGAGGCACACTACCTTGAAAGTGGACGTCCATAGTGCTTCTGCAGGAAAACATACGCAGCGCACCAGGTTCTCCACAAAAAGCGTCCACAAGCAAACTTGCTGCCAGACGGCCCACAACTCCCACGCCATGCCCCCACCTTCCACGGAAAGCCAGTCTCTTGTCACTGCCACACCCACGAGGGAGGCACAGAACGCATGATAGATAATCATCTGCAGCTTGAAGCCGACATTCGTCTTGTCTTCGCTTGCAAGTGCGGCACCAGAAACAGAACGCATCTGGACCCGCTGGGATGCATTGGCACCTGCTTCTGTAAGGGCTTGGTAGCCCATGCGCTGCGAAAGAGAGCGCTCGATGAAACACCATAAATGCTTGGCACCGAGGCTGAAGACCCGGCACGCTTCACAGAGGAGTCCTATCAAGAAGGGACTCAGCAAAAGCCAGGCGCCCCAGTATCGCAACCTCTTGGCAGCCTCATCTTCCCAAAGACTCCAAAACCCTTTAATTCAGGAATAAACCTTAAATTTTCATAGGATCCCTAATAAGATTTAAGGTATATTCCTTAATTAAGGAGCCTCATCTTCTGCGATTTCGCCTGACAAAGGCGGAAGCAGCCGTGGAGGTAGATCGCAAAGCAGCGGGGGGAACCCGTCTAGCGTGAGATGCCACTTGAAGATGCACGTTTCAAAGGCCCACAGGGTCACCCCAACGAGGTTCCTCAAGCCGGGTTCATGGGGACACGAACCAAGAGAAAGAAAGCCAAACAAAAAAGATGCCACTGCAGACCAGGCTTCGGAACGGGTGGGAGGAAGACGCCGCACGCGTCGCTCCCAGCAACTGGGACCCAGGAGAAGATCTCAGTCATGGTCTGCTCACGAGGCTCTCTGACGATTCCCTAGGCCCTAAGCCCGGCCTATAGCAACTACTTGGAGGATCATGGGACTTAGTAAGTATGGCTATAAGTACCTTAATTGGGGTTATAAGTAGTTCCCATGATCCTTTAAGTATGTCTAAACACCCAACAGTTGATGCCGCTCGTGCTGCTTGCGCACATGCTGGAATACTGAAGACACCGATCCAAGCTGTGTGCTTTGCACAGCTTCGAAAGCCGAAACGGCAGCAGCGTCCGTCTCAACTTGCGTGGAGTTGAAAGGACAAGCAGCAAGCATGCAGCGAGACTGGCCGGAGCGCACACATGGCAATAGCAAATCGCAAGAATTCAGGCTGTAGTCCAATATCTAAGCCAAGTGACTGACTTTACTGACAGTACACCTCAGTGTGAAGAAGGCGGGCAAGCTGTAGCAGGCATGGTGGCAACAGCAAACGAAATAGACTTGCGGTTTCAGGGTGGTGCTGCCTCCGCCGACTGTCCTCAAGTCACAGTCGGTGTTTGTTTAGCAGGGAATGGCTCTGGCATTTGGAGTTCGGCTCTTGGGACACAGACGAAGGTGGTAAGGAGAGATAGCATCGAAAACACAACGCAGGTATGTTGCTTGGAATGGCAAGCACGAAACCGTCACGACAATCTGGAAAGTCGCTGCAAACAGGAGCCACTCAACGGAGTCCGAATGTCGTTGATGCCTCGCGCCTGCTCGATGCGCACAAAGAACTCGGGCCGCACACCACCTTGCTACAAAGCTGCCACAAGTGAAGACATGCAACACCAAGGTACGATCACAGATATTCAGAAGCAGCGTAGCACCGCTGCGACAAATCAGTGTAACCACAATTGCCACTGTCAGCACGACGATGGCGACGGCAACGGCGACGACGCTGACCAGGACTGCTGCTACTTGCAGAGTTCTCCAATCCCCAAATCTTGGAGTTAGAAGCCTTGGATTCTGAAGGCATCGGGCTTTGCTGCCCTAAACCCTACGCCGAAAACTGGCAAGCGATTGCTGAACCGAAGGCTTGAGAAGACTTTCGTGCTGAGTTGTTTCGATGAAAGCGGGTGCAGTGTTGGACCAGCACGGCAGCCTCATAAAGATCAGATGTCCGGCTCCCAAGTACACAGCTGGTTTTTATGTCCGGTGCTTTGTAGACCGGGCATCACTTTGTTACCACTTTGAACGGATGACAGATGGGACGACATCATTAAGAAACAAGATTCCCGGCGGTGCCAGAAGCAGATACAAGAGCAACAAAGATTTCACTTGGATCCAGAGAAGTCTAACAAGGCCGTCGGTTTTGATAAATAGACTCATTTTCTCAAATTGCAAGTCTGCTGTGCTGCAAACACTCAGAATTGGCCGCTCTAAGCCAGGTCAGAAACGTGTCCTTCTCCAGCGCCCAGGCTAGACTCATCTTTATCGCAACACTTCGCGTCCTGCCTTGAAGAGTGGTCTCCACATCCGGGCCATCAGCAGCTCTAGAGAGGAGGAAACTAAGGCCAGCAAAGAAATGGACCAGTCGGTTGCTAGTCTCTCTCAATTGCCTTTTCTTGAGCGTAAAGAAGCACCTTGACCAAGTTCGCTTTCTAGACTTTCACTCCATTTTTGTTCTAAAGCTTCTGCAGTAAAGTTACGCATCCAATGTCTTGGAGGTATATATAGTTAAGGAGCCACTTATGGTAACTCTTTCCAAAACCGCAAAATTATCTTAATTTTTGCGAAACGTTTCACCAAAAATGGCGTTCGAGCTCTCCTGCGAAAAAACCGTCAAGTTGAAAGGAGTTCTTCAGGGTCGAAATCGCGATTTGTTTTATCGAAAACGACGTCTT